TAGCGGGGATGCCCACGGGCTGATCGATGGCCTTATAATGCCTAGCCTCATTAGCTTGTCGAATTCCTGTTTTGCGATAGCAAGTCTTTTGGGATCTAGCCTTCTTGGTCTTGTATTGATTGGTGGGCCACTCGTTACGATGTGATGCTGGATAGAATGTTTGAGATCTGCTTTATTGTATGTTACTTTTACGAGTTCAGGGAACTCCTTTAACAACAATTTATATGGATCATCACGACTTTTATCTATCACAAGATTCATTGAAACAGCTTCCGTAAGTATTCCTCTTATCGAAGTGGTTTGACTGCCGTTTATAAGTCTGTGTCGTCTAGAGTCTACTAGCAAGTCAAAATTACATAAGAAATCTATGCCTATTATGGGCATCGATACGTCTGCTATGACAAAGTTCCAGCGGTATGAAGCGCCACGTCAAAAATCTAGGGACAATTTCCGTTTACCATATGTCTTAATATCTGATTTGTTTGCTGCTCTTAGCACTAATGACGGATTAATGTTTTTTTTCCTCGTTAAATGGAGGTACTACGCTAATTTCCGCTCCAGTGTCAATTAAAAATTGCGCGCCAGTGGTTCGGTCTTGTATATAAAAGAGGCGACTATTTTCAGGCATTATGTGTGCTGATGCTGTCGTCATTGATACTCGTGGGTATCGGTTACTAGCCTTATTAAATCTACAAGGTTGTAGGCACTTTCTAGCCCTGTAGCCGAACATTTGATGATACCAACATATCGCGGGAGTTGGGCGTCGTCTAGAAGTTGACCGGGTCCTTTCACGCGAACGATCTCGCGATGTCCGTCGTGGCTTTTCTCTCTGCGTTAACTCTGAGAGTTTTCGGCATAAAACATTTATTTCCTTCTGTAGAGTATCAAGTCTATCGTCTACCGTCACGTTGTGTAGTGGTGGGCTTGCTTGCTTGCTTCTTTCGTATATTCTATCGGCTATCTTTGCTATATTGTCTAAATCAGCATCCGTATCTCCCGCAGCTAGGATCTGCTGTATATTTGCTGGTAGTCGGTGGAGCCACAGTTGATAAAAGAGATTATTGTCAATGTGTCTATCGCCAAGTAGACTTTTCATATAATTTTTTAGTTGTGATGGGGTTCTATCTCCAATTTGTACTTCGTTAAGGAGTTGTTCGACGGCTTGTTGGCCACTGAGAGAGAGAGTTTTAATTTCTGCCTCTTTTAGCACGTCGTATAGTTTTTCTGTGTCTGGTTTTGCTAGTGCCTCTCGAACGTTGTCAGCTACTTCGTCTGGGAGTAGTGTGCTTGTCAGGCCGAACTTATCCTTTTGCAAAAGAATGCGGTTAGCAAGAAAATAATTTTCAAGTCTTATAAACCAAAGTTTTGGGTCTGTGATTTTAAAAGAAGGGGCAGGGAGGTTAAGAGACCTCACGGACGAGGCTTGCTGTACGCTTGAAACTGTGTTTTCATAAGACATGCTTATAAAAATTAAATAGCACACGAAAATAATTTAACAATCACAAGGAGAATAGATGGGCGAAAACAATGATAATAAAAAAATGACACAATTTATAAAATGGAACAGACTTACTAAATTGCACCAATATATCAATTGTTTCTGGATAATTGTTATTTATTATGATTATAATTGTCACGTTTAATAATGTTTGAGAAATAATGTAAGTGTAATTAAAATAATAATATAAATCCACAGTTGTAATTATAGTTCATTTGATAATCCAAATTAAGATGAAGGTAGTCCGATTTTTGGAATTTGATTATTTCGTCAAAATTCGCTTCCCGTTCTCACGTCGGGGTTACCAATTCTGTAGTGGCTGTGATTCGTTAATTTATAGTGACTCACGTTTATTACGAGAACACGACTGGTTCAATAAAAACAATTATTATTATAAACAGTTGTACCAGTGTTTGTTTTAATGTGCTTTTGTTTGACTGTGCTAATGACAGCTATATTGGGCTTCCATTCTTGTTCTTACACTTCGATTGTAATTTCGCGCGAATTCGGTTACCTTCTGTAACCAAGCTTGTATCCTGGCACGATCTCGGTATCCTTTCGATACCACGAGATCGCCAGTGAATAAATCTTGACTTGGTCCATTTTCTGCCTTCTGATATTTGGCTTCTCGGGGTTTTTATGGAGTCAATTGGAACGAGCTTTTTGGTAGCGGTGTTCATAGTCAATCTCGACTCGACGCCACGCTACAAATTAATCACCCTCGAACCGTTATCGTATAATCTTCAGCGATGTTTGAAATCAGAAGGCGAAAAGAAGCAGCTACTGCAGTTTTATTTAGTAGATAATTCGGACCAGACAGCAGAGAGGAAGAAATCAGAATGGCCGTCAGACAAATCAAGAACGGGAAAGCAGCTGGTCCGGACAACATACCAGCTGAAGCACTGAAGTCAGACATCGAAGCAACTACAAACATGCTTTCCTTCTATTCAAGAAGATTTGGGAGGAGGAACAAGTGCCGATGGACTGGAAAGAAGTGCACCTCGTCAAGATTCCAAAGAAAGAAGATATGGGCAAATGTGAAAACTACAGAGGCATTACACTACTGTCAATACCAGGGAAGGTCTTCAACAGAGTGTTGCTGGACCGCATGAAAGATGCAGTAGACGCCCAACTTCGAGATCAACAAGCTGGATTCCGTAAGGATCGATCATGCACAGACCAAATTGCAACACTACGAATCACCGTCGAACAATCAGTTGAGTGGAACTCATCACTATACATCAACTTCATTGATTATGAAAAAGCATTCGACAGTGTAGATAGGAGGACATTATGGAAACTTCTTCGACACTACGGAGTTCCTGAGAAGATTATCAACATTATCCGGAACTCATACGACGGACTACAGTGCAAAGTCGTGCATGGAGGACAGCTGACAGGTGCATTCCAAGTAAGGACCGGAGTCAGACAAGGCTGTTTACTCTCTCCCTTCCTCTTTCTTCTGGTGGTCGACTGGATTATGAAGACCTCGACATCTGAAGAAAAACACGGAATTCAATGGACAGCTCGAAATCAATTAGACGATTTGGACTTCGCAGATGACCTAGCCCTCCTATCACGTACACACGAACAGATGCAGATGAAGACAGCCAGTGTAGCAGCAGTCTCTGCATCAGTAGGCCTCAGCATACACAAAGGGAAAACCAAAGTACTCAAATTCAAAGCGGAAAACAACAATCCAATCACTCTTGATGGCGAAACTCTTGAAAATGTAGAATCCTTCACATACCTGGGAAGCATCATCGATGAACAAGGAGGTTCAGATGCAGACGTAAAGGCAAGGATTGACAAAGCAAGGACAGCATTCCTACAGTTAAAGAACATATGGAACTCAAAACAACTTTCAACCAATATCAAAGTGAGAATCTTCAATACCAACGTCAAGGCAGTTCTACTGTATGGAGCTGAAACTTGGAGAACTACAACAACCACAATCAAGAAAGTACAAGTATTTATAAATAGCTGTCTACGCAAGATACTCAACATCCATTGGCCGGATACCATCAGCAATAGCCTTCTGTGGGAGAGAACAAACCAACTTCCAGCTGAAGAAGAAATTAGGAAAAGACGATGGAACTGGATAGGACATACATTACGCAGATCGTCAAACTGCATCACGAGGCAAGCCCTAACTTGGAATCCTGAAGGGAAGCAAAAAAGAGGAAGGCCAAAGAACACATTGCGTTGGATAATAGAAGCAGATATGAAAACGATGAATTAAAACTGGACGGAGCTAGAAAGGATTGTCCAGGACAGGGTTGGATGGAGAATGCTGGAGAGCGGCCTATGCTCCTTCACGAGGAGTAACAGGCGCAAGTAAGTAAGTAAGTTGATAATAAATTCGTTGAAAAGAGATCCCTTCGCTGAACTTCGTGTTTTAATTTTAATGTTTAAATGGGAATTATCTGTCAATTGCAAAATGACGCATTTTCCAGGTGAATAAAGCACAGACAAAGCATTAGGACTTTGTCATTCTAGTAGTTTAGTCAACATTGACTACAAGAATCATATCCCACTCAACATAATTATTACTTTGAAAAGTGACATTGTGTCACACATTCGAAACGCTCTCGCACGATCTACCCTCTAACCATCCAAGTAGCGTCACTACCCTTCAGTCTGGTTAGCGTTTTGGTTAGCCTTTTTTTAGCGAGTTAGTTTTCTACGGGATGAGGACGCTAACCCCATGCCCAACCCTCCTTTATCCAGGCTTGGAACCGGCAGTAGCCCCCGGAGGGACTCCAGGCGGTGTTACCATTCAGTCACATATCGTATATTATGTTGAGTAAATAATCGCTTTCTACATCATTCATTTAAATTATCACATTTACATTTATAAGGGGTTAGCACAGATTCTTCAATCTGACCATCTTATCTCAACATAGTGTACGCAATGTCGAGTCACCTAGACTGGTGGCCACATTGTTATTTGGTCGATATCATTCGATCTGCACTAAGAAGGACTTGACGCACATGATATTGATCACCACTCAGTGATCAATCAATTGTGAAACTATACATGTCTAATAAAAAAACCCTTTGATATTATTGTCCATTCATTTACACGACTATTTTTGGCCATTAACCAACTGACTAATATTTACATTTGTCCAATCATTAACTCATTTATATTCACGTGAATCAGTTAAAACTACAATTTAGACGGTGTTAATTACTATATCCCACGGTATTGATATTAAAATTGGTCGAAATTTAGGATCGAAAGTTAATATGAAAAGATAATACTTTCCCTCCCTCAAATCCAATTTTCGTTATTTTCTTTGCCAATACTTCTCTATTATGAACATTTATACCTTTCTCATCATCATATTACAATCATTTGTGAATAGTGTACAGCATTATGTAGCTCCATAATCATTCCATATGAAATTGTTTTCATGAAAAATATCAGAATTTTTATTATGTGTAAAATATTGTCGATTTTCAAATGTAATTTGATCTATACCACAGAAAGCACTATGTACATTACAATTTAATAAAATCTACAATAAAACAATGTTTCTGTTCTCAATATTCATGTTTCATGGATTCCAACGCAATTTCCGACCATTACATCCATCATTCCACCATCGTGCCACACTCGGAACCCAATATGGACCAAATGAATGAGATGTATGAGCTAGCAGACACATTGCACATTGAGGTTGGGCATCGTAATCATGTATGATTCCATGACCATGCCATGCAAAATATTCATTATATGCAGTATCGTTCTTGTCCAAATACTTCAAATAGTCTGCCAGTTTAGCCGGTGATTCGAATTGATCAACGTGAATGAACGAGTATGGAGGAGCGACTCTTTCATATTCCTCTATCGATGCACCCATCACAATTGGAAGTATATCGTTTCTTGGAATGAATAATAAGTTTGCAATTTGTTAAACACTTATCGAAATCTCATCATACAAGTGAACCGTGAACATTCGCGAAAATATGTATATACATTGAAAATGTCAAATTTCAACTTACAGGACGATGGAGATGAGATTTCAGTTTTAGCCAATTTCACCGTTTTATTTTGACGTGACGGATATAAAAAATTATGGACCATGATTGCTCAATGCACATTGGTAGCTGCTAGGAATTATTTATGGACTATTACTACATATCAATTTTGGTATTGTTTGTTCGAATCGTTCCATTGATATCCATGACTGACATTGATCAGTCTCTAATTGACATATGTGTATCCTGTGAGGATTGCCTCGAAATTGCTTTTCGTCTCAAACATTATAAGCAGTGATGGATGGAGGCTAGTAGTGGGATCGAGGAGCGCACGGTACAGGGTCGGATTTCACGAGTGAACATCAACTGGGTGATGCAGATACATTCAGCTGAGGAGCACCGAGTATGATGGAACGCGTATCGTGGATTCCACTGCTAACCACCACCCATTTAATATTGCATATATTCTTATTAGATAATTATTAAGTTACCAGATTATATACATAGTATGTATAATCAGGGTTTTTTTATCATAAGGTTTCATTTGACCTGTTGTCTTCTGCCACTTTTTGCTTGGTTATGTTAGTTTGATCATAAGGTTTCGTTTGACATATTGGCTACTGCAATACGTTTAACCATTCTTAACTTATTCGCAATTTATTTGTTACAATATCCCACAATCACAGCCACATTTTGCTAGATCCTGTGTAATTATTATTTTTATTTTTACAGTGTGATGCGGTTTGTTCTGCTTGTATATAAACCACGTATGTCTGATATATATTAGGCAGAAAAAGTGCAAGCCTAATTAGAAATACTAAGCAAAGAACGCACGCACATACACACACACACACCAAAAAAATATAATTCACAAATTAATTCGAGATTTCTAGTTTATTCCATTTCATTCACGATTTCAAATTAAATGTGAGAACTTCATCTTAATGAGAACACTTGGCCTCTAATAATATTGCAACAACAATTAAACACACATTAGGGGCAGCTCTCTTTGTTCTGGACTGGACGGGCTGGTCTCGATGAGAAGTTGCTATGAAGATGACCAATAATGACTCATATTTGACTCAGGACTCCTAGTGCTACATGAAGCATCATTGGTTTAGCACAGAAACAATGTGATAGAAATAGGTATTTAAACTGGCGTTTTAGTTGCCTGGTACTTGACAGGCCATAAAACATAACATTTTTGTGGGACTAATTATTCAAAAACTTGATCGAGCACTATCACGTTTGATATTTGAGGATACCTGTCAACGTGCTCAAATAAGATCTGTCATGGACTTCTCATATTCTCCCTTCTCTAATATGAAGTTTATTCCGAGTGATGAGCATTAGATCCCTAATTTTATATTGTATGCAATATTCTGTTAAACATCTTAAGGAGACCTCACTGAAATCTATTTCACATTAAAGAAGCTTTATTTGTCTGCAACTATGTGAAGTTGAAGAACATATAGAACTGAAAATATCTGCCAAACAATATCAAAGTCAGAATTGTCAATACGAACGTCAAGAAAGAAACTTTGAGAACTACCACAACCATCATCAAAAGCGTACAAGTATTTGTAAACGATTGTCTATGTAAAATACTCAATGTCCGTTGAGTGGATACTATCTGCAACAACCTACTGTGAGAGAGAACAAACCAGCTTCCATCTGAAGAGGAAATTAGGAAAAGACGATGAAAGTAGACAGGAAATAAATTGAGGAAATCACAAGACTGCATCACGATACAAGCACTGATTTGGAATCGTGAATGTGAACTCAAAGGAGGAAGACCAAAGAACTCGCGTCGTCAGCAATCGTAAGCAGATATGAAAAGGATGAATAGCAAGTGGAAAGAACTGGAAAGGATTGTCCAGGACAGAGTTGGATGGAGAATGGTGGTGGTTGGCATATGCTCCTCCACGAAGGGTAACGGGCGTTAGTGAGTAAGTAAGTAAGTAAATAAGTAAGTGCTAGATGACCATGAATTGCTGCCTATCACTAAAACCAACATCAATGTAACCCATTGCAGTTCACTCTGCCAATTTTATTTCGTTGTTCTGAAATATTATGACACTTTGAGACGATGATTATGCACATATAAATAAATTGATGACTCTGATTACACTATAATGTAAGATTAATACCAAACCACTTACTTCAATGCATTTTTATACAACTTCTCTGTTATGTACTCACTGCACAAACTATTTTCGAAGCTCAAATAAAACTTATAATTTTCACGAATCATTTTCAAGCAGCTCTCTGATGAGGTAAAAGTTGGATTATACTTTGGACACGATAACGTGCCACATTGACCATAAATATCAAGCTGAAAATAGAAAATGAATCGGTGAACTATGGAACAGATAAATTATATGTTTTAATGATAAAGCCGGTAACCGCATCGAATTCACTGTGTGTATGTTTGATAAAACTCCGCCTGGAGTCCCTCCGGGGGCTACTGCCGGTCCCAAGCCCGGATAAAGGAGGAGGGTTGGGCATGGGATTAGCGTCTTCATCCCGTAGAAAACTAACTCGCTAAAAATACGCTAACCAGGAAAAATTATTCAAACCTTTTAACCTCTGCCCTGGGAGTCAGAAGGTCTTCATTTAGAAGAACTATGACTCCTCATGATGAAAGCCGAATTCCTTCGGAAGTTACGAGGCCGATGCCCCTTCTGACAACCAGAGCGACCATTTATTTAGGTACATGGAATGTTCGTACAATGTGGGACACCGGGAGAGCCTTCCAAATTGCTACAGTAATGAGAAGATTCAACCTAGAGGTACTTGGGATCAGTGAAACACATTGGACGCAAGTTGGACAACAACGACTAACTTCAGGAGAGCTTCTGTTATACTCCGGCCATGAAGAAGAAAATGCCCCACATACACAAGGAGTTGCATTGATGCTGTCCAAACAAGCGCAAAATGCGCTTATAGGATGGGAATCTCATGGACCAAGGATCATCAAAGCCTCGTTCGAAACAAAAAAGGAGGGCATTACAATGAATATCATTCAATGCTATGCGCCTACCAACGACTACAATGAAGACGCTAAAGATCAATTCTACAATAGGCTGCAGTCAATCGTAGAAAAGTGTCAAACAAAAGACCTGACCATTCTGATGGGAGACTTCAATGCCAATGTTGGAACGGACAACACTGGATATGAAGACATCATGGGACGACATGGACTGGGAGAAAGAAACGAAAATGGTGAGAGATTTGCAAACCTATGTGCCTTCAATAAACTGGTCATAGGCGGCACCATATTTGCATCAACAAAACGTTCAGGAGGACGATGGAGGACGTGAGAACCAAGAGAGGAGCTGATATAGCATCAGATCATCACTTGCTGGTCGCCAAGATGAAATTGAAACTCAAGAAGCACTGGACAATGGGGCGGACAATATCACAAAAGTTCAATACGGCCTTTCTTCAGGATACTAACAAACTCAACAAATTCAAGATAGTCCTCAGCAACAAGTTCCAGGCCTTTCATGATCTACTCAATGGAGAAGGAACTACTGTGGAGAGCAACTGGAAGGGGATCAAAGAGGAAATCACTTCAACATGTCATGAGGTCCTGGATCACAAGAAGCACCATCACAAGGAATGGATCACTGTTGATATACTGGATAGAGTCAAAGAAAGAAGGAACAAGAAGGCAGCAATCAATACCAGTCGAACAAGAGCTGAAAAAGCCAAAGCACAAGCTGAATACACAGTAGTAAACAAACAAGTGAAGAGGAGTATCAGAATCGACAAACGTAAATATGTGGAAGATTTAGCAAGGACGGCGGAAAAGGCTGCAAGAGAAGGGAACATGAGACAACTGTATGACATAACAAAGAAACTCTCTGGAAATCGTCGCAAACCAGAACGACCAGTGAAAAGCAAGGAAGGCGAGGTAATCACCAACATTGAAGAGCAACAAAACAGGTGGGTAGAACACTTCAAAGAACTCTTGAATCGACCAGCTCCACTGAACACACCCAACATCCAAGCAGTACCCACGGACCTCCCAATCAACGTTGGCCCACCAACAATTGAAGAAATCAGCATGGCCATCAGATAAATCAAGGGTGGCAAAGCAACAGGACCAGACAACATCCCAGCAGAGGCACTAAAAGTAGACGTAGCGGCAACTGCAAGGATACTCCACATTCTCTTCAATAAGATGTGGGATGAGGAACAAGTACCAACAGACTGGAAAGAAGGACTTCAGATCAAAATACCGAAGAAAGGCGATCTCAGCAAGTGTGATAACTACAGGGGCATCACTCTTTTCTCAACACCGGGAAAAGTCTTCAACAGAGTATTGTTAAACAGGATGAAGGACTGCGTAGACGGCCAACTTCGTAACCAACAGGCAGGATTCCGTAAGGACAGATCGTGTACAGACCAAATCGCAACTCTACGGATCATTGTGGAACAATCAATTGAATGGAATTCATCACTCTACATCAACTTCATTGACTACGAAAAGGCATTTGATAGCGTGGACAGGACAACACTATAAAAGCTTCTTCGACACTACGGCGTGCCTCAAAAGATAGTCAATATCATACAGAATTCATATGATGGATTAAACTGCAAAATCATGCATGGAGGACAGTTGACAAAGTCGTTTTAAATAAATACCAGTGTCAGGCAAGGTCGCTTACTCTCACCGTTTCTCTTTCTCCTGGTGATCGACTGGATCATGAAGACGTCAACATCTGAAGGGAAACACGGGATACAATGGAAATCTAGGATGCAGTTGGACGATCTGGACTTCGCAGATGATCTGGCCCTTCTATCCCAAACGCGACAACAAATGCAGGAGAAGACGAACAGTGTAGCAGCAGCCTCAACAGCAGTAGGTCTCAATATACACAAAGGGAAGAGCAAGATTCTCCGATACAACACAGCATGCACCAATCCAATCATAATTGACGGAGAAAATTTGGAAGATGTAAAAACCTTTACATATTTGGGCAGCATCATTGATGAACATGGTGGATCTGATGCAGATGTGAAGGCGCGAATCGGCAAAGCAAGAGCAGCATATTTACAACTGAGGAACATCTGGAACTCTAAGCAACTGTTAACCAACACCAAGGTCAGAATTTTCAATACAAATGTCAAGACAGTTCCACTGTATTGGGCGGAAACCTGGAGAACCACGAAAGCCATCATCCAGAAGATACAGGTGTTTATTAACAGTTGTCTACGGAAAATACTTCAGATCCGTTGGCCGGACACTATTAGCAACAACGTACTGTGGGAGAGAACAAATCAGATCCCAGCGGAGGAAGAAATCAAAAAGAAGCGCTGGAAGTGGATAGGACACACATTGAAGAAAGCAACCAACTGCGTCACAAGACAAGCCCTCACATGGAATCCTCAAGGCCAAAGGAAAAAAGGAAGACCAAAGAACACATTACGCCGAGAAATGGAAATAGACATGAAAAAGATGAACAAGAATTGGATGGAATTAGAAAAGGAGGCCCAGGACAGAGTGGGTTGGAGAATGCTGGTCGGCGGCCTATGCTCCATTGGGAGTAACAGGCGTAAGTAAGTAAGTAATGTTTGATAAAACGAGCAGTTTCCTTCTAAAATTTTAATAGTTGAGTTCGTAAGCAGATCTAAACTAGAACATCATTGAAAACCTGAAAGCACTGCACAGCCATTTCGGCCTAACTATGGACACCTCAACAGCAGCACTTCTGTATCCAGCATTTCTAAATACCCATCATGAACACAGTGAGCTTAGTCATGTATATGCATATAACACTTGGACATAAATGTGAGTGATCACTGAGTATGGTGTAAGAATACCTGGATTGGCAATCTTGTGTGATCAGTTTATGGAATAGTCACATGTAGTGATATTAATCCAGTGATACAGTTCCCTACAAAATGACGATTCGATGCAATCATCTTCAATCTGAACACTATCCCTGACATTTCTGAGATGCTCATTTGTTTATATGTTTAGACTAACCAACTTGTACATTAAAAGGATAAGTTTTCAATGAAGTGAAAAATAATCAAATATTCATAGTTGGTGATATTGATTATAATTCCAGTAATAAGCACACATCGTTATAAAACCAAACACATTCACTGGTCTTTAAATATCAACAGTATGTGACCAATCAGTAACTACGAAACCTCGCTTGAAAGACCGTGAAAGTGAGCAATACTAAAGATTCAGTGCTTCAGCTCATTACTCGTGTTTATCTATTTTTCTACACACTGGAAAGTAGGTATTGCTAAAGAATCAGTGCTTGAACTCCATCGAGAACGCATACGTGATCGAGAAGTCGGAGTTTCAGAGATGGAGACCTGTTGTCAACACAATGATAGAACACACGATCGTGCAGATGTGGGAATAATACACTGATGATATATACTTCACGCATTGCTGTGAATCAATCAAGACAATTTCAGCAGACCTTGTTTCGTTATATTCTAATCATTATTAGTTCGTTTCTCCTTCATTTGAACCTACAGGATCCAATCAACTTTCCAGTCACATTTGTCATCATTTCATATGATATTGATTAATAACATGAATATCACTGTCATAACGGATCAATTTCAAGTGACAAGTATTGCATGCTTCATAGTGGTGTTTGTATGAACTAATGATACCTTTGTGCACAATGTCTGTCTGATTTCGAATTTCAAATACTATACATTCGTTAGTGCTCACCTAGTTTTTTCAACTTAGATTGCTCTGTTTCGGGATTTTTCTGGTTCGTACAGTAATTCAAATACTTCCAATTATTTTACTTATGCTATATACATTTTGTCTTTTGCCAATTATTCGTCTACTCAAAATTATTGAAAAACGTGTAGAACCTCAATGTTAAGCTTTGTCGAACTCACCGGGATATGTCGTGAAAGTTCTTTGGCGTATTGCATTCTTGGACTTTTCGGTATACAGTTACTCACAAACCATGCAACTTTTTTTGATTTTCCAGTAGCAAAGTTTCTGGAAGGTAAAGGATATCGTGTTTCTGGTCCATGGTGCTTCATGTATGGCTCATAGGAACCGTACGGTGAATAAATCGTTGAATCCAGACGGAAGGAGATAGTGTGATTAATCTTGATGTCAGAGGGATAGATTCAAGTAAAATGATATCATGAATATTGAAATGAATGAGCAAGTTAGTAGTTTTGATATTAGAATAATGTTTTAGTAAAGTGGTTCGTGGGTAGTGTTTAGTTTTGTCGTTTTGGATTATAGATTAACGGTACAGACCTGAGTGTTTTGTCCACCCACTCTGGTGTGGTGGTGTATTTACAATGCTTAAGAGTTCTTCACTAAGATCAAATATCTGTTCAGTACTCCCTGGTTTTCGAAGGTACGAGTTTGTGTATTGTATCCAAAATAAAGGAATATTTACAAGTAGATTAGTCTTGCTCGTGAATAAACATGACATATGTAATTAGTGACATCTTTGATTCATGTGGACAAATCGAAATCTCTAACAATCTATTTATTATGCATATCTGTGTCAATTAGTTGCATAGATGCAAACGAAATGATAAAAAATCGTCCCGATAGTGGTGACATGAATGACACGTCGAAAGTATTTACGACAGGTTTTTATTGATTAGTTTAAGCGGATATTAGGCATATATATAATAATGATTAATGAACAAAGCATAGAGCTCACTTGTTCAATGTATCTACGACAACAGTGAAATCTACTGTTAACAAATGTCAGTATAAGAATTCGAATGAAGTAAGCTCCTGATAATGTCTTGAACGCAACCAAAGAACGATACTGACTAGTCTTCGGGTTTACAACCTGTACCTATTAAATCCCAACTACAGGTTTAAGGAAACATATTGTAAAGCCTTGTGGCATATTACATAGATATATCAGAATATCCTGTAATAGTGTGGTAGAATGAAAATATACTTCGAGTATGATTTGACTATCACTCCTTTATGTCGATATCCTGAACATATTGAAGAAATTTTCAATCAAATGGTATTTACTAATCTAAGTGAAGGCGAATATATTATATGTTTGCTAATCGAAAACAAGCTAAATGATTGATGGATGATCCTAGAGGTGAATGAATCATCGAGCGATATTTAAGCGATCAACATTTTAGCTAGTGTCTGTCTTGTGATCTAGTGGTCATCACGGTACAACGGAATATGCGAATTGTGACTGTTCTAATAGCATTGTTTGTTAAGTAAGTTAGTAAGAGGGCTTAACCAAAATTAACCATAATCGAAATTGGTTGTAAGATAGTTGCGATAATAGTGTAAAGTGATTAAATGAATTCTATGGAGTTCCGCCAAGAGGTGAACATTATTTTCATTTGAATAATTGAATCTTCAGTTGGAAACTATATAAAATTTCATGAACTAATCAATGAATATCCATTAAATTAATGAATGTCTTCATCTGAACTCGAACATTGACCACGAATTCGAAGCTGAAATTGCACACGAATTTATTTATTTATTTATTTATCTTCTTGCAAAACGTCTCTTATAAAATCAATCACAGTGTAACATGTGTGCTAAAGCAAACCAGGTTTAGAAGTTTTCGCTGGACAACTTTTACTGTTGTGTAACGCATAAGTATGTGTTTTATGGGAACTCATAAACTTCACACAATTAGTCCATTTCATGGATCAAAATAAAGAATGGTGACATTATTCGTTGAGTAACACGAATCTATTCACACTTCGTAGTCCTCGTCAGCTACATACAACCGTAATGAAATGATAAAGATTAGAAATGTTACTATGGTCAGAATTACTCACTTCATTTTCCAATGTACCTGCCATAGCAATATGTACAGGCGACTCTTCTATTAAGCTAAACCATAATTGCTCTGGAGGTCGAATTCCATTTGGCACTTTATCTTCTGTAAGTATAAGTGCATCAGCTTCTTGCCATCTGTTCATGTCAGTGATAACTGCACATTTCGAAGCATGACATTTTGAAAAGTTCATTGGTCTAAAAATTGTACGATGTCCATAGTTGAGAAACGTCTTCACCTAAAACATGAGTAGAATACAAATTCATGTGTTGATTTTCACAATTTATTGAGCATCATATCTAACATCTCTTTCATAAATAATTCAGTAATCAAACGCACAAAATATGATTTCGTCAATCTCATATTCAACTGAACAGTATATGTCCAAATGTTTTATGGAATGGATACATTTATGAGCAGCAATGGAAACTAGGATTTGAGGTTCTTTCCTTTGGAGATTCATCAAAATCCAGACAAGATTATAAGCAATGGGATAATTTACAACCTATCTATCAATGATATTTATCCTGTTGGTTAGTAATGATGGCGAGTTTTATTATTGATGTCATTCATGCAATTGATGCTATTTGAGTGAAACGATCACGAGATGTGAGCATCAATTTGATGGAGATTTTAAAAATGACGTTATTTCACACTTGCCATCCAGAAACATCTGAAGAACGTGTCTTCAACTTCTCATATATCTCACCATACACATCCCACTTACAAACATCATCTCTCAACCAAAGTTTCTGTGATGATTCATCAACAGATCTGGTGGTGAGTGGATCACTGTGACGTAAACTACTATGAAATTGAACAATGTACACAAATATTTTGCACACATAATCTCGGTCATTTTGAAATATCAATGAATAATTAATAAGGATCAGTTAATTAGACGACAGTCAGTCTATTCAACATCAAAGAATATTTCTAATAGTTGACCTACCGTCTTATTCACACCCAATGAATCATATAATTTCTCAAGTCTATTTTGTTCCAGACTATATCTCAGTGGGTATTTTTGAACGGACGTTTTACTGATAGGGGAATATATTTTGTGCAATATACTAGCAAGATCTGATTCTGATCCGTTTGGAACAGATATATTATTGCACGAAAATTCTATTGTTTTAGGTATTACATCATGATCGACTTGATTGATTCTCCATTGAAAGAGACTTGGTAAAATGTTGATCAACCATATGATCAACAGAATAATTGAAACACTGTACAACAATTTGACTGTCAATGTATATTTATCATTTCGTACAACTTTATCAAAACTTTCACGCATGATGTTTATTACAGAAGTGATTGGACGTCAGTTATAAGGATTGATAATCAGAAATGTGCAATACTATCTGAAAATTGTAAAACAGTCATTAAAGCACTGATAACAATCCCTGATTACAGTCTTTCATTAGTGAAATATCATAAGCCACATTATAACGCATTAATGTCATCTAGTTGAGAAAATATTCACGTAACATATACAATTGTTATTCATTGACAAATTGTTTATTGTCATTACAGTTGCATGCACACCAGATTGTAGTGTGAAAGTACATTAATGTCATCAGTGTTTGATTTGTGAATTAATCGACTACTATGCAATGCAAGCTTGAATCGAAGTCACTAATTGAAGCCTTTGATGAGATCACTAACCAATCAATGTGGGACAAGAGACAGACGACTGTTTTGTCGCTGAAATAGACGGTTCAGCAGTGTGCGTCTACGACAGTAACCTACTGGGAATCCAACCCAGTACATTGAGTCTCATGTTCGGATGCTGGATGTCTAGTCCATGAGGACGGCAACCAACGGTACACACGTTCGATAGTTCACATTACTGCGTATCATCCGTCTAATTGTAATTCTAAAAACTGATTGAACTGTATTATTCAATTGATAAAAATGGAATCGAAATACAGTCTCCACAATATAGGCAGTTGTTTAACTGTCTCGTGAATTATCAATGTTAAACATATCACTGTGAATCTTGTGTGAATTTGATAGTGTTCTGAAAATATGTTGTTCCAAATTTCAATGTTTTCCATCACAGAGAGATTTGTTTGAAAATCACTTGAATTGTGATTTGGCATTTTCAATCCGAGTTGTGATTAAGCTGAGTAAGACAGTATTTTTCACATCAACTCATTACTGTCCGACTATTCCATTAACATTTCACTGATGGTATGTTCCAATCTAAATATGTTTCACTGAATATGTAAATCATTGTGTAACGATTGTATTGTCACTTCATTTATATTCACTGATTCAATAGTAGTTATCCAACATTAGAATTTACTTTCTTAATTTCTAAGTTGAGTAATAAGCAGATGTTACGTATAAGCAAATATGGATAGTGACTATCAAGGGAACCCATATCTCGAGCTAATATGCTTTCACGTAAATTGTAGTGGTGTTTTAGATCGATAAACTGAATTAAATCATGAACCAATAGTTATACACTTTATGTACGCGTCTACCAGATTCCTTAATCAACTCGGTATTTACAAGTTATTAGTTTCTATTCAACGTTTTCTATATTGAAAAGGGAATGGTAAACAACCTATTAATCTATACACCACATTTCAGAATGTTGATACAATATTTTAATGATACCGAAATCTCTCTTATTCTTCTATCATATATGAATTGATAGTTATTTTTGAGCAACAATAGTGTGTTCAGTATGGTATGCGTTCAAAAACATCATCTTCATTATAAATCTTATGGAAAGATAGGTATGATATTTTACAATAAATAATGGATTTTACCAAACATCAGAATTCTTGTCCAGAACTTGATACATTGATACATTCACAATATCTTTGAATATTATAGATGAGTTTTTCACAACCTAATGTAATATTGACATATACAGTGTATTAGTGAAACAATATTATCGTCCTAGATATAAGAATCCTATATGAACTTCATATATAACTTATCAAGATCAACTTAAGTAAATTGTGAAGAAGAAGAAGAAGAAGAAAAGGTTTTTTAATCGATTGAAATTGATTTTAATAAAATGACTACTCACTCACGATCAATTCATATATCTCAATGAAAATATCCAATGTAAATTAGTGATGTAACAAATTATCAACAATCGTTTTTTGAATATATTCAGTTTACATTAGCCATACCTTGGTCTATAGAGTGATTGTGTTGAAATTGAAATGAATGGTGTACATTTCGGTCGAAATATATATATATATAAATACAGAGAGAGAGAGAGTATTACATTACGCCATTTCATTCATTAATTTTATTACATTATTACTTATTCAAATGATCATTGGTGAATTCAACTATATACCATGTATGCGTATAATAGATCCAAAGACCACAACAACAACAATACAATAGTAATGAATTCATTTCATTTCAGTATTATTTCATAAATAAATTGTTTATTTATTTGTTTGTTTGTTTGTTTGTTTTTGTGCTCTTAAATTCAGTATTAAGCATTAAATATTCATCATTTTTAAAATTATATGCATTAGATTGGCAACTATTACTTTGTCCTTCAGCCTGTTTATTAGAATTATCGAATTTTTTCATATATAAATATTTTAATATGAACAAGAGAAAGTGAGTAATGATGTATTACTGTGTACATTTTGATAGGGTATACTCAGAAATATATATATATATATATATATATATATATATATATATATATATATTCGTTCTATTGTGTACTAGTGTTATTTGTCAGTTCATGCATAGTACATAATAAACAATAAAAGCAGTTCTTGCGAGTAAAATAAGAATAGATTTGTTCAACATTAACTACTTCCATCATTATGCTCATGGAACAACCATACTTTAACAGACCATATTTATTTATTCGGATTATACATATATCTAATCTCTTTGATTTACACTGTCTGTGTTAGATAATACATAACATGGATTACGTTGTTAGATATTACTATCGTAAGTAAGCAATATTTAATCGATCGAAGCATATCTATTAACTTTTGTCTCACTGATATCGCACTATATGGGTTTTGACTCAGTCCCTTAATTTCCAAAATGGTCTTTTATATATCTTCAACTGAAACCATTGATATACGCAATTAGAAGTAAACAACTATCCAATACACATCAAGATTCATTCACTTTCCATGTAATATACTGTTGGGTTGATCCAGAGAACTTCTCGCAAAAGACAAGGATCGGGAAAACACTAAAAAGCATTTTATCAAATCAGCGTTCACTTGAAGTTTAGCCGGAAACATCAAGAAAGTGAGAAGTGACACGTAGAGTTTCTGATTGGCTGACTACTATACTGCTACCATGTTTAATAGCATTCCAGAATGCTTCACGCATATTTTGCGCCCTTTCTTTCATGTTCAGGTCGCTGTGTAGTTCTAACTTGGGAGTTGCGCGAATAGCTTAGTGACCGAATATGGCGTTCAATTAGTAATATATATATATATATATATATATATATATATATATATATATATATATATATATATATATATATTCGTTCTATTGTGTACTAGTGTTATTTATCAGTTCATGCATAGTACATAATAAACAGTAAAAACAGTTCTTACTAGTAGAATAATAATAGATTTGTTAAACATTAACTACTTCCATCATTTTATTAATTATATTTATGAATAATAGAGTCAATTATTTCCTCTCTGAAATTTTTCATGAATATCTTCATCAAGACAGTAATATGAAATCTACAGAATCAATGTGTAGATGGTGTTGTTGAGTTTACTGTTAAGTTTGTTATGATCGTGGGGGATCTAGTATAAAACTCTGTAATAACTAGATGTAAAAGAATTATGAACTACCAAACGCTCTGGTATGGCCGAAGGTGGAAAGAGTTAGCCCTCACTCTCTAAATGCTCTCATATGGCCACTCTTATACAGTCATTGACACAGAAGTCTTAATCACTGCCTTCTCGCACCACGAGTTTTGTTTACGAAATTTAAAGGACGAGAAGCGAATGTCCGGCGCTTTAACCGGGTTGGTGGACACGAAGAGTCCACCTAAGGGAGTTGGAAAACCCTGATTCCAAACCAATCATGAACATAGGCTCCAGTATCTTGCAGGAACAAATGGCGTATGAACCAATTATTGGACACCAACGAATATGGGACTGCATCTCCTGAAGTTACTCCATTGGCTTGTCAATCAGACCTTTAGTAAAACACCTGTTTGGGTCCAAGCACCCTGGCAGTATCATAACCCATACATAAATCAAATGACTTGCGTAGCGCACATGTTTTCAGTGCCCTTTAGTATCATTATTTACATTTTCAAATATAAATAATTGAATTATGAAATATATCTCACATTACTAATCTCTGAACTGTTCACAGAATTCAATAATAATATTAGGCATATCTTATGTTTCAATAAGAGTATGAAAAAAAGGTTTTAATACATAATATAGAACTATATACTTACGATGTTTAATAAGATAATCTATCCCCAACGGTTTATGTCTTAAATTACTATTGTCATATCACTATCATTATTTTATATATTGGAAATATGGTGTCCAAATGTTGTTTTAACACAAGTTCAATTGTTGTTTCTATGATGCCTTAGCAACATGAATGGGAATTTAAAGATAAAATTAATACACCCAAATATATATCGTTTCAACCAATCAAATCACCTAAATTATCTATCTATTCATTACTATATGTATGTTTACATTAAATTTTAAAAAAATTATTTCATCCTTAACACTATTAAAAGAAAAAATAATGTTAATTAAGGTTTATTGAAATTTTGGCCATATAGAAATTGATACCCCCTTTTATGTATACAAAAACAATTTATCCTTATGCTTAACTGATGTGAATAGAGAAACAAGAAGATTTGACAAATTACGAAAGCTATTTTTTTCGGAACGTTATTTCATTTTATGCAAAGCTTGTAAAGCACTGACACTTTTTTTTCTCTAGTCTATTCTACAGAACACAAGCTTTCATTTGATGTGTGATTCACTGCCATAACCCTTTTTGTTCCAAAGCTATTTTAATTTAAACATAATATTTTGCGCCCTATTTTCTACTCTAATTCCAAGCATTGGACATAATTGTGTTTCCCTAATTATTGTACGTTGTGATCAGGTTAGTCATCTAGTTATTCATGTACCTTTTTACACTAATCTGAAAACCAGGACGTCGGGATCCAGATCGGCATTGAGAATAAGTCGAGTAGTGTTCCAGTTGACTTGTCTTCTCTCACTCGTGTGTTTGTCAGCCAATCAGGTGATAGGATAGTTTTCTTCTCTCTATCCCACTTCGAACTCACGCGTACCAGTCTCAAAGTTAGGTCGATCAGCCTATCGCGTCAAGGTCTTAATCTCTAGATTAGATAAGTTGTCCTCAACACCAAAAGTGGGTAGACAGATCAAGGACGTAACATTGACCTGCCCTAGTAATTTATTCACTGTGGTAATCATATTGTTTTTGTATAAGTAAGAAGTTACAAGCAGGATTATTGAATTTGATTCCTCAATTATATTCAATTGTATATTTATAATTCAATAGAAAACTAAACATGTTATTTTTGAATAAGTAACTTATATGATTTATATTCGTATCAAGAGTATATAGTTGAATTTACAACTGAATTAATTGGAATTCATTTGAAAGTTACTCACAGGTTAGAATATGAATTGTGTTATATTTTAAATGTCGAAACTATGAATTTCACTAGTTGAAGTCACGAGTCACTTGAAACTAGACCATCATGGGAAACCTGGAGGCACTGGAAGGCCGTTCCGTCCTATTGTTGGACTCCTCAGCAGTGCGTACCCACGATCCCGACCCCGCGATTTCGACTCAGTGGTCAAGTATTTCCAGGTTTTCCATGGTGGTCTAGCTTCAATTGACTCATGATTTCAACTACTGAGATTTCGAAAATCTCCACAAATCCCCTTCTGACTCTATGAATTAACATGAACTAGATGAAATATATAGAAAGAATTTAAATTATAACTATAATGGAAATAAGTATAGAGTTTTATAGGTTATACTGAAATAGAACATTTATTCTGAGTTCTCAAAAAACTGGATTCTTAACTTAAGTTGAATTGTATAAGAGGTTGTAAACGTCAAGAAATTGTAAAGAGTTATGATAGTTTTACTCTACTTCAAATAAGACTATCGTTGTGATTGTAAAAATTAACATCTCTTTATATATCAATGACAAAGGATATTGGCTTTATGCTATAGTATCTATTTTGTAGTTGACTGATACATAGCAATTCTTTCAGTTTTGAATTTAAGCTGATTAAATACATTTATATATTCTTGAGATTGTAAAACAGATCTGAATTAGATAATCACTGAAAACTTAGAAGCAATGGACAGTTGTTTCCACCGAGTATGTGACTTTTTCAGTCGTGTGAACCTAATGTCTTGATACAGGTGGTCGAATTTAGAACCTTCGGTGTCTTCGTGAGAATGCTCAACGTCTAGACTATAAAAAATGGAAGGTATTGTTTTAAAATTCGGGTTTTAATCAGTCCACTACATCTCACAACCATCATTTATTTTCTTTAATATATACCTTCCTCACGCTCGATACCAGTAAACCCCGTAGCTTATTATTAGAATTCCGGAAATTTTTTTATCACAGTCACTAGTGAGAAAATGATGTGTCAGTACAAGGGATGAAATGACTAATAGATTTTGACTAAGATTGCGATCATAGATTAAGCGTTCGCAAACTCAGCTGAACGTCTTAGGTTCGGTCATAGGAGGTAGAACCATGGATATTCACAACCGAGTAGTTCGATATTTAGAACAAATAACTATCCAGTACTTACTACTTTTTATTAGTTATTTCATTCACACAAACTTATGATTTCAATAAAATTTCGACAATCTCCACAACCAATTTTCTTTGCACTGGTCACCCTCCAACGCAATAAATCGATACCCCTTTTGTTGTCTCCACTTAAACGATTTTCAATAAATACAATTTTTTAATCCTTTAACACTTATCCAAATTTACTACCCAACAACCTTGTTTGCAGTTCTTCAGGGTAATAATCGAAATCATTAAAGAAATAAACACCGTTTGACAATCCAATCAAATCTATGTTGTGCTAATCAAATCATATTTGAGGGGTCTTTGTGAATATTATTGAGATCATGAGTCAACTGAAGCTAGACCACCATGGAAAACCTGGAGGCACTGGAGGGCCGTTTCATCCTATTGTGGGACTCCTCAGCCTGGCCTCATGAGATTCGAACTCAGGACCTATCAGTCTCACGCGCGAACGCTTAACACCTAGACCACTGTGCCAGCATCCAAAGGTGTTAATATCTAACTTCAACCAATCCACGAAATTGAGCGACACATCCACCATCCAATCATATTTACATGTTCACCTTAGTAAATAGAATAACACGAATCAATTAAATGAGAATTATGTGAAAAGTTCACAATGTCTAAATAAATGACTGAATGAATTGTGCGTGTATATATCAGTAGTGTAAGATCGAATTATTAATGATTGATATTCGGTATTAATGTGTGTTTATATGAAGGAATAAATCAATAAAATAAAAATGCATGTTGAAAGTTGAAAAAAAGTTTCTGAATCA